CCCAACCTTCCTTCCGAGGAGTGGCTGGTGGGTTTGAACCGCCAGCCTTCTGGTTAGCAGTCAAGTGCCTTAGCCACTATGCTACCAGAGCTCCCAAAATGGGGTATTAGAGACTACAATATTTCTCTCATACCTCTCATAATGCGATTCTTTTCTTCAAGAATTAAGGAAATAATGTCTAGGTGATACCTTGGAGAATAATAAATTATTGTATTAGTTTTTCCTTTGTTGTTGCTGCTGCTGAGTTGGCCCCTGACTCATGGTGACTCCCTATGTAACAGACAAAATGCTACCCAGTTCTATACCATCCCTATGATCTGTTGCAGATCAGACCTTGTGATACATAGGGTTTTCATTGGCTGATTTTTGGAAGTAGTTCGCCATTCCTTTCTTCCTAGTCTGTCTTAGTCTGGAAGCTCTGCTGAAACCTGTTTACCATGGGTGACCCTGCTGGTATTAGAAATACTGATGGCATAGCTTCCATCTCAGTATGACAAACTGACAGACAGTGGCGGCTTTGCTCCTTAGGTTCCAATTACACATCTGGAAGTGGGTAGATAACCCCAGGATGGGCCAAAACTCTTCTATCTCACAAATTCTGTAAGCCCTGCTGTAACCAGAGGACCATTTCAGATCTCTATGAACATTATAAAAAGGAGCTCTGGTGGTGCAATGCCTAAGGCATTTGACTGATAAACAGAAGGTTGGCAGTTCAAATCCACTAGCCACTCCTCAGAAGGAAGATTGGGCAATCTACTTCCGTAGAGATACAGCCTTGGAAACCCAAGGAGGGGTCGCTATGAGTTGGATTCAACTTGACAGCAGTGAGTTTGGTTTTCTGAGTTAAGGAGCTATGGTAGCAGAGTGCCTAAGGCATCTGACTGCTGACCAGAAGGTTGGTGGTTCAAACCCACCAGCTGCTTCATTGAAGGAAGATTGGGCAATCTCCGACTCATAGCAACTCCTGCTTGGATTTCCAAGCCCATATCACTACAGAAGTAGCTTGCTCAACCTTCCTTCTGAGCAGTGGCTGGTGAATTTGAACTGCTAGCCTTTGGGTTAGCAGTCCAATGCCTTAGGCACTATGCCACCAGAGCTCCATCATAAAGCTTTACCACTTCGGAAGCCCAATGGGGATAGCTATGAGTAGGAATCAACTCGATGGCCGTGGTTTTTTTTTCTTTCTTTTTTTTTTTCTTTATAACAATCTTTCCATTCTTCATTTCTTTTTTTTTTTTTTTATTAGGATTTGGGTGAAGATTTACAGAGTAAATTCACTTTTCATACAGCAGTTCACATATACTTTGTCTCATGTCATTGACCTAAATTTACAATGCAGCAGCTCCCCTCCCACTTCCTCCCCATAGTTACCTCCTCCCAGTGTCCATCCCTTCATACTCTTCGAGAGGCCCATTGTCTGCCAACCCTGTATATGATCTTGGATACACTCTCCATTTAGACATACATAATTGTTTAGCTTGTTCACCCATTTTCTTTCTTTTTTTAATGAGGTATTAGGTATCATTATCCTCATTTTATAGGCTGTAGATTGGTTAGTTTAGGTCTGAGGCATTGGTAGTTCAGTGCAGAATTCTCACCTTCCATGTAAAAAAACCAGGACCAATTTCCGATTCCCAGATGTACTGCTACCACCCATCTGTACTGTAGGCTTGCGTGTGTTGCTGTGATGCTGAAAAGAGGTTTCAGTGAAACTTCCAGACTAAGACAGAAAGGCTTGGCAATCTACTTTCAAAAATCAGCCAGTGAAGACTCTATGGATCACAATAATCTGACCTGCTGCTGATCTTGGGGATGGCATAGGACAGCACAGAGTTTTATTCTATTGTGGGTGGTGTCACCATGAGTGTCATCATAAGTCAAAGACTGT